TTTTTAACATATAATGTATTATTTGTTTCAGGGGTACAGGTCTGTGATTCATCAGTCTTACACAATTCACAGCGCTCACCACAGCACATACACCAGGGAGAGATTTCTGACAAGAGGGAAGGCAGGGTGAAGGCAGCTCCTCTTCACAGGCCAAGGAGGAGATGGATAGACCTTAACCTGCAATAATTGTCTTCCTTTTCACCATCCTGCCCACACTGGCCCCTCTGGCCAGCCTCCCTTTGCCCTTCGCTGCCCAGACCCTCCCTTACGGATTTACGAAGTAGGAACAACCACATAAACTGTAGGGAGAGATGCGGCCCACAGGGACCCCAAAGGATGACCCCTTCCAGGGAATGAAGGAGGAAGTGAATAATGACACACTAATATTGCATCTGTGCATGGCATGTAAAAATGTCCTATGAGGTAAAACATCCGTATGTAAAGATGCACAAAAAGTCATCTTATCAGGTGTTCAGAACATGGAATGCAGAAAGCAAGAACTATAGAATCAGATAAATCTGGGTTCAAATTCTGCCCCTGCTGCCCCGTTTCTAAATGTCACTTTCATTCTGTGGGCCTCAGTTTTCTGGTCTGTGAAATGGGGGCAGTGATAGCAACTTCAAAGGGTTATTGCAAAAATTGAACCAGATGTATATGTAATGCTCTGAGCCCTATACCAGCTATATGATGAGTGTTAAAAGTTGTATTTCATAATTTTTGTTTTGAATTTTTTAAAAAAAATTATTACACAAGTAATTCAGGAAAACATTCTGTGAAAAAAAAATTAAACTGTAAAAAAAAAAAAGCTTAAAGATAAAGCTAAGCCAAACCTTGATGTTCTCCTAGAGGAAAGACAGTTGGGTGTATAATCTTCCAAGTGTTTCTATCCCTTTGCACACAAATAAATGTGTATCTCAAAATAGTTTTATATTATAAAACAGTAGCATGATGTAGGCATCTATCTGAAATTTGCTTTTTTCAGTCTTGTTTGCCATGTCGGCACATACAGAACTACCCCCACCCCAGGGTGGCCATGTGGAAGTTCTTTGGTGGGCAAAATGGCACGTGTGGTCACGGTGTATCTCTCCTGTTCTCCACCAGGTGGAGCTGTTGGAGGCGCTACTCAACTACTACATTCTCAACACCCTCTACCCCAAGGTCAACGGTGAGAGTTGCTAGGGATTTTTCCATGTCAAGGAAGACAGTGCTCTTTGAGGGAAAAGGAACTGGACTTGGAGCTGGGAAACAGGGCTCTCCTGCAGGTTGAGTGATCTTGGGTTAATCATTGCTCCTCTTTGGGCTTCAGCGGCCTATGAGATGGGCGTTTTGAAGGTGGTCTCTCCCTCCGGGGCTCTAGTGAGGGTTAGGGACTGAGGGACTCTTTGGAGCACAGGAAGCCTCCTTCTAAGAGAGAAGGAGGGACTTGCAGAAGTGTGCCCCCTATACCCTGAAATGGCAGGTAAAAGACTGAGGACCAAGCTAATACAGAGGGCACAGGGCAGCCCGTCTCTGAATCCACATTCCCCAGTCAATTGCCAACTCCCTAGTCAGATAATAAAGCATAAAGCCCTCAACACTGTTTCCACAAAGCCCTGCTTCATTTGGCTGCAACAGAAAGCAGGACGGGGGTGGAGGGCAGAGAGCAGGTGCCCACTAGCTTCTTACCATGAGCGTCTGCTGCCCCATACCTGCTACTCTTCCCATATAGCACCAGGGCTGGGAACCCAGGCTCCTGGAGCAGCCTGCCGGGGTTGATATCCCAGTTCTGGCTGTGTGACCTAGGACAAGTTACTTGGCCACTCAGTGCCTCAATTTCCTTATCGGTAAAATGGAAATAATAGTCTTATCTACCTCGTAATCTTTGGTGATCATTAAATGGGAATAAACTGTGTACAGAGTTGGCAGAGAGAAACTTATTTTTTTCTATTACTTTATTTATAGTTGTTATTTATTAACAAATCTCTCTCCATGTTATGCCTCAACCTCCAGAGAAGTTGGCAGAAGGCTTCCCCCTTCCTCTGCTCAAGGATATTCGGCTCTATGACCCTGTTCTCGAGATCCACAAGGTCAGTGGGTTCCGGTGGGCTTTTGAGGATTTGGGGGGGTGGTTAGTTTTCCAGGTTCAGAGCCATAGCTCAGTGGGCAGGACCCAGCCCGGCCCTGCAGCTCAGAAGGGAGAGGGAGACCCCAGGCATGACTAGACACCATGCCACCACCCACGTGTCCTTTAGAAGTGGCACCCCTCCTGTGGGTGACCTGGGGGAATCTCAAGACCAGCTCAGTTTGAAAACATTGCCATGGCAACAGTGCAGGTTCTGAGAGCCAGTTGTAAGTTTTGAAAATTTCTTCTAAATTCTTTTTTTTTTAAAGATTTTATTTATTTATTTGTCAGAGAGAGAGAGCACAAGCAAGGGGAGGGGCAGGCAGAGGGAGAAGCAGGCTCCCCGCTGAACAGGGAGCCCAGTGGGGGTCTTGATTCCAGGACTCCGGGATCATGACCTGAGCTGAAGGCAGACGCTTAACCGAAGGTTCATAGAACCATTAATAGAACCGACAGTTCTATCCATCAGAGACATCATTTACTGAACTATTTCTATACCAAAGAATATATCTGATTCTTCACTCTTCTCTCCACTATTCTTTTTTTTTTTTTTAATTTTTTATTTATTTATTTGACAGAGAGGGAGATAGCGAGAGCAGGAACACAAGCAGGGGGAGTGGGAGAGGGAGAAGCAGGCTTCCCGCCGAGCAAGGAGCCC